AAAAAAAACAAATCGGACCGTCTTGGCCAGGACGCCAGGCAGCTGCATGCTGCAGTCACTCTAGAGGACCCGAGACCTTTGGAGTGACGTCGTTGCACTCCAGGTATTGTACCTGATCGAGTGGCTACAACTCCATGATAAATCTATTTGGCAAGGCAAAATTGTATCACGAGGCTGAGGGCATTCTTGCGGAGATGAAGGACAAAGGGCTGGAGCCTGATACGGTCACATATACTGCTCTGATAAATGCATATGCGGAAAACAAAATGTACAAAGAAGCGAGAGGTGTGTTCTTGGATATGCGTGCGAAAGGCTGTCCCCCGGATCTTACTTCATACAATATAATGATAAATGTCTATGGAAAGTTAGACCTGGTAAAGGAAGCCGAAAGCCTCTTCTGGCAAATGAAGGAAACGAGAACCGTTCCCAGTGTTGTCACCTTCAATACTTTAATCAATGTATACGCGGATGCACGAATGGCTGAGGGAGCGTTACGAATTTACCGTTTCATGCATAGCAAAGGGTATTTGCCCAACATTGTCACGTACAATACCATCATCAAGATGTGGTGTAACGGATATGACATTCAGAAAGTTACGAATGTGCTTCAGCAAATGCAAAGAAGAGGAATTGCACCCAATGGGACGACGTACAGCCAATTGATAGCATTTTATTGCAAAATAGGAAAGTTCGATCGGGCAGCGACTTTATTTCAGAATCTGCGGATACAAGGATTTCCCATGGATTGGGTGCTGTATCATTCTATGATAGTAGCATATGAAAAGGGTGGATTATTGGGGCATGCACGGCGACTTCTCGAGGAACTGAAGATACCAGGGCATGTGCCCCGTGATACAGCCATAAATGTCATGGCTCTGGCCGGAAAAGTGGACGAAGCTGCAAAATTATTTTGGCGTGCAGAAAATGCAGGAGAGGTTAAGGATATCTCAGTCTACCAGAACATGATCAAGGCCTTCATGGGAGAAAGAAAATTGCCATCATCTGCTGTTAAGGTGTACGAGATAATGAGACATAGAGGATTATTTCCAGACTCTGATACAGCGCTTTTGATTTTGAAGGCTTACGGTGATTTGGACTTACTACCCAAAGCGGAAAGTGTTTACAAGGAACTAATAGAAATAGGACTAGTATTCAGGGAGGAGGTTCACTTGAAAATGTTGGAGTTGTATGGGCATTTTAGAGAGCTGGAATCAGCTAAATCCTTATTCATGAAGTTGAAAGATGAGCGGGTGGTCCCTGAGAAGACTCTTCGTTTATCTCTGGCCCGTGTTTATGAGAACAACAATAGGCTGGATGATGCCTCAAAAATCATTCAAGAATTAAAGATGGAAGAAGCCTGATTTACCCGGACCTTTCGATGCACCTTATGGTGAAGTACAGATCCTAAAGTAATGCTCTGGCCAATGGAGCATAACATTGCACAGCTTACGGCGTCTATCATGTGAGTTCAGAACTTGATTTATAGTGGGAAGGTTTTGCTCTGATGAGACTTATTCTGGACTGCCGCTTCTGAATGGTTGCCAAGTGGGAAAAAACCGATGTTTAGCCGTTGTCGTATTTGACCACCATTCTCTGAGGGTCGATATATTTGAAAGATCTGTTTGAATTACTGTCAAAACCTTTTCAAAACTAAAGTGAAACATCAGGAATAGGGGCAGTTCATCTGTGAAGTCGATTCCTACTTTGCAAGCTTCTTATAAGTGCATGTGACTAATATTTAGTTGAATAGTTCATTGTTTGGCATGCTGTGTTGACTTTCTCTGCTCAATTTTCAACTTTCAGGTTCCCATGAAAGGTTTTTTCTCGAGATGATATACGTGTTTGGCAATGCAGGGATTCATACTTCCGCCATTCGGTAATTTCTTTGAGCCTCTCTGCTCACAAGAGTCTGCTTCCACAGAACTTCGTGTACTCATCAGGATCGGGCAGTACACCCAAGTAATGTTAATCTTTACATTCCAAATATTTGGAGTCTATTCCGTTGCATATGATGTTTTGCTAGCAGATTAGGGGTCAATTACAAGAACTTGGTGAGACATGGAACTCAAGAATATCTTAAAAGTTCAATCGAGACTCCGAAAGATAGCCGCGGGGTGCTTCTCACTTTAGCAATGCTGAGTTTAAAAAATACAGGTTTTGTGGACTTTTATATCCATATGTTCCATCAAGGTCCCTCTAATCTGGTCCTGTTACACAATTGCAGCATTTTGTCTTGGGTTTAAATCACGCTGAGTTTGCTTTGAAGAACTGCAGTTCACTGATTATAAGTTCTTATCCTCAACTTGATCATCAGCATCGCATGATTTTTTTTGTTTTTCGACCATCAAAATTCCTTCGATGTACTGATGAGTCTGGCAAAGTGCTAGTGTTCAACTAGATTGAAACTTATCCAATGTGGGATCGAAGTTAATGTTCTTATGGTGTTTTAACAGAAGCTGTATGTGCCAAGATCATCTCAACTTGTCGGCAGTGATATGGCTGGTGGTAATCTTGTGCTCTATTTTCTTGGTTGCCTTTCATAACTCTATCTAGATCAATTCAGTTTTGTTTGAGAGTCTCATAGACGTCAATTAAATAGAGATTAATAGTGTGTTACTATATGAGCAAGTATGCGTATCTCAACGATTTGTGCTTTAACAGCCCATCAATAGTACAAGTGCATTTGTACTCTTGTATGGAATGCAAGATAATTACAAATGTGTAAAACATGATGTGTTTCATATTCTATTAAGGGCGAGGTCAAGCTATTGAGAAGAATATGTAGATCAGGTATAGTAGAATAAATGTCAATTTAGCTTGCCAGTTAATTTTGTGAATCAGATTTATTCATTGTAGTCAAATATCACATTATAGGGATCTAGTACTTTATATTATTGATCAATATATTTCAAAATTATTTATTGATATATATATTTTTAAATGTATAAAAGTGCAAATATGTAATTTTGCTGAAAATCAGTAGAATAGAAAATTATTTGAGAGAAGATAAATTTCAAAGTTAATTGATTCAAAGTATTGTATTAATATTAAAGCCAAATGAAAAGTTGAAATCTAACAAATCAATTAATTATCTAATTATAGTCTAAAAATCAAAGACATCTTAATTTATAATAGACAATATTTAATAACATTTGGTAATTAATGATTCATTTTTTGAAAACACCTTCCAATCACTTCACTTACATTTAGAAATAAGAATTAGATTTTGGTGTGAAATTCATAAAAAAAGAATACCAAATAAACATCTAATGAACCAATAGAAACCTTAGATAAACTTCTATCTTGAAAATTAAACACCACATATAATAATCTACTCAAACATTCGATAAAAATTTAATCTTTTAATTTAAATTCTTTTCCTTTAATTGCTAGAAGCCATCAACTTAGAAAGATTTTATTTTTATTTTTATTTTTTTTATTGAATATATTTTTACAAAAATCAATCTTATTAGTGTTTTGTATTGCTAAAAAATTGTTAAATTAATCCAAAGCATTTGTTAAAGCAATCTATCCATTATTATCTCCTTCCTTCTTCCTTGTCACCTTCAGCACATACATTCTTGTGTTCTTTTTTATCATCATAACCATCATCAAAAAATAGATTGGTATAATTATGGTTATCAAAAAATGAAATTTGTACAGTCATAGGCACAACAAGAGTAATAATGCATAATAATCAACGATTATAATTAACAATAATAACATTCTATATAGTCTACATAAACTTTATTTTGCCTTTATTGTTATTCCAAGCAGAAGCAGTGCTGATTTGTCCATTTGGGTGCGAATTCATTTGTGTGTATGTGCTTCCTTTGCCCTGCTCTGACAAGACTTTAGCCTTGTAATTTCCTAGCTCTCTTTCTATTCTCTAGGAGGGACAATGGAAGAACTTGCTATTTTGGGTTGCTTCCATTTTGAAATAGAAAACTTGCTGAAGATGCACCTATTAGTGGAAGAATTATTTGAAACATTCAAAGACATGAAACAAAGTGTAGATACTTTTTTCTATGCCTAAAAATATATAATTTTTAAATGCAGCTCTAACAAGCTACACATTGTTTTCAAATGCAACAAAAGGTCATATCTATTGTGAGCCATATATAAACATAATACATCATTATAACTGATCAACATAATTGATTGACTTCCCATTTGAATTATATGCATATCTTATAAGTTGATAAATGTTGGCATTTGATGGTTTGAAATGGAGAATATTGCCACACGTCTTTGGCATCACTAACAGGCCATCCTATTGTTCGTTGTCCTTAACCAGTAGAAAAAGAGATTATTACTTAGATATTTATTATAAAACTGGCACCAAAGAATATGGTGACTATGTTATATTAAAGGGACCTTATAAGTTATGTAATTGCCACATCAATAACAAAAGATATGCAAACAACTTTTGGGGCTAGCATTGATAACCATGACACTTAAGAATTTAAAATTTAGTTGACAACAAGGTTGTTTTTGCAACTTGATGAATTTATTGAGATAATTCCATACCTATATAGAAGGTTCTATGGTATAGATACCTTTATAATTTGAAATTATTGAAGAAGCAGCTATAAATGTGTGTCTTTGCAAGAATTGCAAAAAAAACTAGATAGAATATTTGTACTTTTTTTCTTGAGCTATTTTTACTTCACAATTGTTTGTATCTAAATTGGAGATAAATTTGGATTTATAGTATTAATGTAGTAAGCTAATTTGAATACAATTTGGAATTTTTAGGGATAGCATTACAAATTGTTTTAAATACAATTTAGAATTGTAGTGCTAATCTAGCAAATTAATTTGAATACAATTTGAATTTGTAGTGCTAATCTAAATACAATTTTGATTTATAGTACTAACTTGGATAAGTTTTGGATTTGTATCACTAATTTAGAAACCTAATTTGAGTTTGTTGAGATAGTACAACTTGTATATCTTGTGATTTGTTGTTTCTATTGCACCAATAAAAGATGCTTACAAGAAAACATGAAGTAGTTATCTGTAAGTTTGTAAGATTTAAAAAATAAAAGAAAAAGTTTTATGAATTTAGTAAGGTATACAACATCTAGAAATAAAAAATTTCTTGTCTAAACTATGATATTAACATTGAAATCAATAGAAAAACACCACCTTGTGAAAAGAAAGGATAGATAGAATAATTACCTATTTTTTCTTTATTTTGTCAAATTTCTTAAAAGTACATAACGTGAACAAAAAGATGGATCAAAACCAACAAAATATAGTCACATGTGTTTACATGATGGTAGTGAGATGCTAGTCTATAATCTTATCAGAAGACAACAAAATATTATTGTTTCATTTACAATTCTTAGTGAGGTCTTACACAATTGTGAAACGACAGTTCTGAGAACTTCATACCAATGTAAATATTTGCAAGACATGTTTCATAAGAATTCTAATATGACAAACATTAAGAACCATTCTAAGTATGGATCTTTTTTCCAAAATCCCCTCAATAGTCAACATTGTAAAAAACTAACAATGTTTGTACATGTCCTTCTTGAGAAGTATTATATTAATTTGCATGTACTATTGTAGTTGCTAGAGCTAAGTAATTTAGACATGATTCAATGTTTGTAAAGGCGTACAACATGTTGGAATTTCCATCAATTTCACACGAGTTAAGTTTTCTTTAAAAAATCTATATTTATTAATTTCATTTAAAAAATTACTCAAGATTGCATATTTTTTTTCTTCCAACTTCAAATTCTTTGTAAAATCAAAAAAGTTGTACCACCAAAAAGCTCTTCTAAATTGAACTAGCTTGAGACCTTGTGGACTCAATTGTAGCTAATGGTAACATATATTTTTTAAATAAAATTAATAAATATAGATTTTTTAACTTTGATAAGGTACTATAATAATTAAAATACTTGAAAAGACCAATGATAACTTGTAGAGAAGTAATTGCATTAAAAACATAGTTGGCACATCCAAATCTTGGCATTGGTATCATACCTATAATAAGGATTCTACATTCTTTAGCATGTCTTGCTAAAATTGGCTCATATGACAACATATTAAGGATAAATTACAAAGACATACACATAATGTAAAAAGAATCACAAGCTTTGTACTACCTAAAACTAGATTTTATATTTATTTTTTTATTTTTATTTTTTTGCATAAGATGCATAACTTCTACTTCTTCCAACCTGGTGAATTTTACTTATAAAAGAGTCTCTTGCTCTCTTTCTTTTAAAATTAAAATTAGGATTCTTCCCCCTTCTCTCTCAAGGATGAAAATCATGGTAAACATTATGATAACCATGATGAAAAATAACCAACATTATTTTTATTAGTTGTGGATCTCGCAATAGAAAATTGAATCTAACTATGATCTATTTTTTCTAATGATAGTTATGATGTATAAGTCAATTTAATAAATGTCTAGGTCAATTTAATAATTCTCTATTTTTATTATATATAAATTTTTGATTATCTCAAGATAATCCAAATTATAGGGCTCTTAGAAATATAAGGCATCATGTTTCTTGTTACATCAAACCTTTCATTATATTTCGTAATGTTAATAATACTATCTAATGCTAGTAAGAAATAAAATTTAATTTAATTTAAATTATATTAGATTCTTTATAAATATATATTATAATTTATTAATCTTAATAATAAATTGGAAAAAAAATAGTTTATTTATAATAATAAAAAATGGTTATAAACAAGAAAATAACTTATTAATAAAAAAATATATTCAAATTCATTATTCGTTAAATTTTTATTCTTCTTTTTAAAAAAATACTAAAATAAAATATTAGTATAATTCTTAGTTTTCATCACATAATAAAAAAAATATATAAATCAAATTTTGGTAGAAATGATAGAATATATTTTAATGATTTGGTCGTAAGAAATTAAAATATTTAAATAATAATTACTATTTTTTCTTGAAACTTCTTATTGATAAAAAAGACTTTTTTAGCTACAAATGAGTATCTTAAAATGAAAATTATTTGGAAATAAAACACTACACGTTAGCAATATTTCATCTTACATCTCTTATTGCATATTAATTTCTAATCCATCTTATATCAAAGATTTTCACTTCTACTTATTTTAAAGCAACGTGATTTAATAAAATAATGCAATTAAATAAGTACAATTTATTTTGGTCATTGGTATATAAATCTTGCTTCCACTACAACTTATGATCTTTATGAAAGATAACTAAGGCATAGAATAAATTTTAATTAGATATAGTTTTGACTTCCATTTCTATTATCTATTTGAAACTACTCCATCCAATTTCTAATATTTAGCTACAAAATTGACTAGTCTTTTAATATTAAAGAAATAATCTAAAACAATCTTGTATATTGTACTGTACCAATTGTAAAATCTTTCAAATAGTATTAATAAAAGACTACTTTTCTATGCAAAAACGTATACTTGTTTCAACCTAATCTCTATGTTATCTAATACTTATATATATATATATATATATATATATATAATCTTCTAAATTTAATATAATATTTTTATTAGTAATTCTTATCCAACATGTGTTAAAAAACAAGATATAATTCTAAAAACATCTTGCAACTTCTATATAATAAAATAATGCTTTGAGTTACTGAAAGTGACACAATATTTCTATAAATAAAGCAATAATAGCAAAATGAAATGAACCCTCTGAAAAAATCATTCAAAGAAGAAATTGGCACTAATATGACTTCTACAAAACAGAGAGGTAAATACAAATGCATGGCAATAAACACATTGCTTCTGCCATAAATGGTAAATGTTTGCTTTGCCTATCTCACTCAGGAGAATCTATCCTCATCTTGGTTGTGGCAATGCTAAACATGTAGAAAGCAGTATTCCTTGCTAATCAGATATCTACCAATCTTTCATCAAAGAAAGCATTAAGTTACAATACACCAAAAGGCTTTGACTGCTCGTTATGGGGATCTTGCATATGAATTCAACACATTGATATTCCACTCCTTGACATGGTCGCCAAATTAGACCTTTCACACAATCTTGTTGATACTGGAATGCGGAAAGTTGTGTTGGAAGGAGGCACTCCAAGAAATAAAGTAGCCCAGTAAAGAGTTCAGCCTCTCGATGCAAGTTGATGTACAAGAATCAAACTTAGGTGATCTGAAATCTATCTCCCCCAGCCCCAGATTTAGTCCTCCAAGGAACGGAAGAGCCATTCTGTACTAGTGCCAGCCTCTGTCGTTTGTAATTGCATTCTTACCATAATATAACAGGGTCTATCTCTAATGTTCCACCGAGAATGGGAGGGAAAAAACCAAACAAAAAAAAAACAAAGTAAAATAAAATAAAATAAAACAAACACACACACACACACACACTTTTCAAGCAAGGCAGAAGCTAAGTGTCGGTAGTCTAGAAACCTTCCAATTAGCACAATCCCAAGAAAATGGTTAGAACAAATGAAGCGCAAGCGTTGACACGTGTATCTGCCTTATGCTCTCTTCGTAAAGGCAACAAAAACAGCACAAATAGGTGTAAGTTGAACAGTTGATTTACCGTGTTATGTCCTATAAATTGTCACACAGTAAATCAAATAATACTAGTTCACCTCAGCGTAGTTCATGCTAGTCAATTTACCAGTGAAATAACGTATTCGAGTTTTCAAGGAAGATTCCACATTATCATATTCCGTACGGCACGACCATACAAGTGGGAGACGTACTTGTAAGGAAATGCAGCATCGTCGGATACAGACCCACAGATGCCAGAAGAATATCATCAAATTAAATGAAACATAGATTTTATTTTTTATTTTTTCATCGTGTACATTTGTGGCTACGTGCTGCTGACAAACAATAGGCCCATCTTAACTGGACTCTTAAGTGGGTTTCTGTCGAAGCTGTTAATTGTAAGCCATTGAACATCAATAAAATGACTGAATCTACAAACCTAAAACTCCTAAAAACTCCACTACCGAACCATATTGAAGCTCGGATAGATCAACATTAGCGCTCTACCTCAAATCCTAACGCTAACTCTAGCACCCGTCCGTCCCCGCTCGTAACTGCGATCCCCAAACTATCAACAAAATTGATTGAGAAAAATAACTTGCAAAAAAAAAACACCTAGGGTTGTCAAAAACCACAACTAAAGCAGTACCTGCAATCCAGTATTAAGATCTCTGTGAGCATTGGGCAGGTGGTGTTTAATTTCAACAAGATGTTATAACACGTGATCAGTGTCGTCTTCAAGTTCAAAGGTTTCAGCGGTTTCATCGTCGATGACAGTATACTTGGGAGAACTTCTACCAACTTCTTGAATATTTGCATTGTTACCCAGCCCGCCTTCAACAAGCTTCTGGTACCTGCGCAAAAACCAAATCATGTTAAGCAAAGCCATCTCCTAGATCAGACCAAGGTTCACATGAAGATTAAGCGCATGAGTATCAAATTTATATTCTCCCAGGTTGTGCACAACAATTCTTGGACCAGATAATCACTAAATTTTATTTAGCATAAAGAATCTAACTCTACACCTACATTCAAGCAGAAAGGGGAGAAAACTTACTTGAACCAGTTGAACAGGCTAACACCAATGAAAATGACTACCAAACCCATACCCTTCAGCCAGGTAAACTCATCTTTAAAGAAGAAAACAGCAACCTGCACGTTACAAACAAAGAAATTCACCCACTTTACTAACTTCACGTGTGAAGGTTTGCATTACAGAGAAGTATGCTCATATTCATATCTTGAACAACAAGGATAACATGAAATTAATTAAAGAGACCTGGATCATGTTCATTTTAATCCACAAAGCTCCCAAACCGAATGAAACTCAATAAAAATACATCATTTCAAGAAAGCAGAGGCCCTGGTTCTAGATCACTTTTGCACCGATAATATGTTAACAACATGAAATGAAACTGCAATACTACACACACAAAACTTCGAAATTGGAGGCAGCTTGAAGGATACAGTTACTCTCTGGCAACATTCCCACGTATTCGTCGGTGCACTTCTGTCTACTGTTACTACAAAAACAACATGCTATCACAAGAAGACATATATTCAAACTTACCACAATGGTTACGACCTCCTTGACGACACCAGCAATGGTTAAAGTCACTGCACTTGTCTCCGCAATCAGAAAATACTCTGCCATCACCTTCAAGAATACGACAAAATTTCACCATAAGCATTGCAAAGTTTCAAAACGTGCTTCATCATTTCGACAGATATACAACGCGAATACATGTCCTGCACCACCATGTTTTGACGTATCAGCTACACCTACGACTTCAGAAAAGTCCACATTCTGTACAAAAGAATTCTGTTACATCTTCTCTAGCCAAATGAAAACTTAGGGATGACGATTGTACCATGAAAAAAGCGAGTGCCCCTCCAAGCAACATCAGCGCACAGCTTTCAAATGTATGTCGTGGGGTATCAAAGTAAGCCGTCTCACTCAGCTCGTGCCAGGGTTCTATAGCTAATGAGAATACGAGAGTCATAATAGCCATTACTGGTGTGAGATAACTCATCGCTGCAAATGGATTGTTCAAACCTGATTTAAATCACTTCATCAGAACAGTATTTCTTATCCTAAACTTGCTTGCCCGCAGTAAATGAACAGCAACCAAAGCAACTAAAACCAAGACTTTTAACCCACATCACATATGCAAGAAAACTGCTGTGACCCTTAACCGACACCTTTTCAAGACTAACTGAGAAGACAAACATGAGAGATAGGTATACCAACTAACACAATAAGTGCAGAGAGCACATACCATACTCTTCTTTCTGGATAGTTTGGTTCGTGGTTTCCAAGATTCGGATGCAGGAAGCGATTGGCAAACAAATCATGGCGCAAATAAGATAAGATAAATTTGCGGCAACTCACGGCACCAACATTTCATATCACCATTTAATACGCAAGGTTTGAGATAATTACTAGACATGAGAACACCTATTTTAATTAATTTACTTTCAACTAAAGCCCCTCAAACACTTCTGTGTGCTCACGAAAAAATTCCAGAGGTCTAAGAAAAACAACAATAGTGAATTTCATAGATGATAAATTAAAAACAAAAGTAGCTGATAATGCGAGGCCATGAAATTCGAGGAGACTGTTGCACCTGCAAGAGAAGCTGCGTCACAGTCCATCGGAAACCCGACATTACAGTTGCCAAAAGCACGAGAATGAATCCAAGAAGCTCAAATTCTGTCTCCTTTGCAACTGCACGATTCTTCAGGTCAGTCAGAGAAAATATGTCCAGGATACATGATCACTTAAAATCTTTGGAAAGTCACAGCTTGGCACTGCATCACAAAAATGACTCAAATCAACCTTAAAAATGAAGTCTTCTTAAATACGAACACCACGAATCATAAGGATGAAGGCTATAAAACTCCACAGTGCAAGGAAGTGACTCAAGGAGGAGTGGAACAGCAATAGCAAGCTTTCCTCGCTAGCTGTTAAATTCTTAACAACTCCCGAATTTAACTGAACTGATTATTACAATAAACATTAAAAAAATGCAATGATGGACACTATTTTCTCTTTAATCCTTCGCAATATTGGTAGCCGTGCTACGCCTGAAATAGAAACACGCAGTGACCATTGATTGAGAAAATGCTGATAAATTCAAAGAAATGGAGCAGACGGTGAAAAATACCAGTGAGCATCACTCCTAAGGAAATTACAACAATGATTCCCATCAGCTTAAAACTTGGCACCTCCAACCTGCCAAAGAACATACATACACTACGGCGTAAGAAACCTCAATATCTTATCTCTGATCTCGAAAATTTACAAAAGTGCAGATGCAAACCCAATGCCACATGCATGAATATATTTCACTCAGTACTGTCAATTTCACAGAAGTCGACTATCAACCGACTATGATGAGCACTGGAAACTCAGCAGGGAAACTGCTCCCAAACCTGCTATTAAGACGAAAGAAGAAATTAGATATAGTAACTCACTTGAAAGCAAACGCAAAGAGGAGAAGGAATACAGGTGCTCCAGATTTGACCTGTAGAACTCCATCATGATGATTGCTCAGGAATAGTTCCAAGTCCACAATAGTGTGTTGGACTAAAAAGAATGCCAAGACTAGGCTGCTAAACCTACTTGATTCAATACATCTCGAGTAAGTACAAAACTTTCTTCTGAATACATAATTTTATAAATCAGAAACCAGACTTGGGGCTGTATCAACGAACAGCAACGGATCACATTTTAAAGTAGAAAGCCTCACCATAGTAGCAAAAGAAACAGAAATAAATACAATAGAGATGTTGCTCAGGTCAATATCCAATGCTGTTGCAGCAGCCGTTGGAACCACTGCCACACGCAAGTAACACAGAACACCGTCTTTCAATCCCGGGCATTGAAATTTCATATAGAAGTTCATTGAATCTAGCAAAGAGCGTGAAAAGATGAAGACAAGACTAATGAGTTCAGAATTTTTTAGCATTCCACAAACTGGATAAAAATGCCCAGCAGCACAGTGTAAAACAAATTTTAATGATTCCACAAGTTTTTATAACTTAAGCAACTTTGTAACAGAAAGAATGCGTATTCTGGCGCGTGCACTCAATTCTATTAGAGAGACTCAACACTGATCCCATTTAAGACAACGAGCTTCTGCAAAGCAATTTTAAAATATCTAAAACAGACGGAGTACAAGAAGGGGATGATCGGTACCTCTAGTGAAATAATCTCTCCATGTCATTCGAATGTGGCTTTGAGTTCTCCCACACCAAAAATGAACAAGAAGGGTTGAAATAATAGCTTGCATAGAGAAATGGATGGTGTTCATTAATAGAGGAGCTGGAAATTTGCCTAGATTTTCTCCTAACAATAACTTGTTATACCTGAAGACAATCAAGATTGCTCATTAATTCTGAATTGATTCGAAAATGCTTATTTCAGCGAACTGCGAAAAGAAGCAAGTTTTAACACACAAACCAGTAAAAAAGCAATGGAAGTCTGCCCAGAACTGCTGCAAGCTGCACAGTAGCAGGGATTATGCACCGCACTCACATGCAAGAGGTGAAGTAAGGCAATGACACTAACACTATGCACTAGGTCAAGGCAGTCAAGGAATTTGAGGTGAAGACGGGAACTTACAACGTGAGACAAGTGCTGAAAGTATACCAAATTAGGATTATAAAGACAGTCTTAACTATAGTCGAAATCAAAGAATTGCGCGCTGAAGAGCGCAATTCAGGCAGCTCCACTTCATCACAAAAAGTGATGCCATGATCTTTGCCGCCAATGCTGGTCCTGCTTATGGGAGACAATTCTACAGCATTCGCCTTCAAAACATCAAGGGAACTTCCTTTAAGAACAGCCTCCGTAAAAGAATCCCCTCCCACACCGTTTTCCAATCGTGATGTTCCAATAGATCTGCCCCTTGAACCATTCCTTCTCTTAGGCGTAGACTGCCCAGAAGCAGAGGCTCCAAATTCCCGATCGAAGTCTTCATCAGATACTAATCCAACACTCTTTCCAACAGATTCATTATGAATGAGAGAAGATCGAGACTCTGATGAAGTTACATCTCGTGAGATTAGGTCATACGTCCCCGCCTTCTGTACCCTTATTAGATCTCGAGACACAACTTCTTTCACCGCTTCCCTCGAGGTAACGTCTCGTCCACCTACATTGTCCGGTTTCTCAACTGAACTTCGATCCATGCCTATGGAGATAAAACTGGTGGATTTGGCCTCAGAAGATAATCTCTCAAGTCCTTCTGTTTTATTACCCATTCCGCACTCTATATTATGTAGCTCGTGTGGCCTTTCAAGCCCGATGGATACATGTGGAGTCCCAGAGTTCGCAACATTCGTTCCTAATCTTTCCGATGCAATGTCTAGGGAATCTTCCATCCTAAGTGGGATCATTTCTAACCGCGCATCCTCCTTCTCTTTCATTTCTACCTTACGGGTAGACCCCCTTCAAAACACGTATCAAAGACTTCTACGGTGGCATCTCCTAATGAAGAATTTACCTTGCTTAAAGAGCACACGAAAATGATCCACCATCTACTTTAATCAGGATGGATTACATCCTCACAATAAACCTGCTTCAGAACAGAAAACCCAATCAAATGAAACCCACTGGATCGAGGTCATTGCGGATTCGTAAGGTCTATGTTCCGAACGTCCCGTCCTTCAGCCATGAACTCATTGAACGCTTGGAAAGCTATCTGTGGAAAACACAGCGCAGGATATGTAAGATAATGCAGTAAAAAGAAAATACTTCAATGTCTGGACTACAACCTCCGAGCTGACCTAGAAAGAAACACAACCTGGTAACTAAGCCGTTCCATCCACTCAGAGAAATAGTCACTCGCCCATACGTCCTTAAAACCTGGTATATGCGGAGCTCTTCAGATGAAAGAGGTCTGTTAGGCATACTGACCACAACTTCCACTAAGAGTCATGTTTGTTACGCAAACAGGTTATTTCTTATATTCAAATCTCACTATCTATACCAAAAAAACGAAATCCAGATGCCTTCAGGGAGACACTTTCCGCAACGAATACCATCACCCAATGACCTGCACTGTGCTTTCATTAGTTTACTACTTAAGAAGCTGCCAATCAGCACGACCTTTAGCGCGCTGAGCCACGGAGGAGTTAAGGTAAACAAAGCTGTCAACGAAACAATAACCTTATACACCCAACCACATAGGTTATGAGGTTGTATTTGAGCTGTGGGTGCTTGTAGTGCCTGGACAGTAAGCTACACGTGTGGAGCTGCTGCCAAATCTTAAAAGTACGGAAGCCGGCCAAACCTCACGTAAGGATGTTCTGAAAACGAGCGTCCAAGTAGTCTAACTATCTAGAGACTTCACTTGCCGACAGCGATAGAAACTAAGCTTGCATACACAAACTCAAACTCTATCAGAGTCTCACTTCAATTTTTTTAAACACCATAACCCTCCAGTTAAGCTTACCTGACGAATAGGATGCAGATCGAGGATCAAAGTCCAAAAACAACACTAGTACGAGGGCGGACGCGTAAGATTTAGGTCTCTCCACATCGCTGCGCGCTCGACCTAGAGCAACTTCTCCAAATTGCTAGACAGAGATACAGTAAGCACACACTACTGAATGAATGTTCAAGGACTGACTTGCGTACAACGTAAACCCCCACCGCACAACCCATCATCCCCTTTCCCCATTCCCGAAAATCTCAAAATCCAAGTTCACACGACGTCACCAGCACGACACGTTCTAAAGCCCCTCGGTTCACGAGCCACTGCATCATCGCGCATCTGCTACCAGCTCGTTAGGGTTTTATAAACAGTCGTCGACCTCTACGAAGCAAAACTTCTAAGCTCAAATGATCATCGAAACTCATCAACACGGCCCTCGAGAACGGAACTATCCTCCTAGTCGCGAGCTACTAATGTCACCTGATCCACATTCAGGAGAAATGCTAACCCTGCTCCCTCAGATGAGCTCAACCACGACAACACGCTAATCATCGTTGTCCCCCTACTGCAACTTTCGAACCTGGCCCCTATCCATTCAGCGCACTACCTGGATCTCCATGAACAACGAAGTTGCTCGCTCACATTTCGCTTCGATTATCTGGCTCTGCGCAGCAAGTAGGAAAACGAGCAAAAAGAGCAGCCACTCGCCGCAGACTGCGAGAGGCGCATCCCTGCCAGGGGACCATGCAAGGATCGAGCTACAATGTCTCCGATGCATATTTCAAAGAGAAAATCAGAATTTGAGCTCTCGAGATTTCATTACGACGTAGAAGGCAATGCGTCCGCCCCCCGTCGCTAAACCCCAACCGATAATGGATGGATGAATATTTCTTTGGGGTAGATGGATAATTTAAGGATGAACGTGTTCGTTCTTTTCGTTCCCCCAACTTGTACCTTCGTTATGTTGCCTGTGTTAACTTCAACTTCGGACCATTCCAGACCAAGCAATTTATTTAATGCGACGATGACATAGTAAATGAAGATACAATATTGATATCAAAATGTTTTCTTTTTCTGGAATTGAATGAATCCTACACTCAAAAAGTATTGTCAATCACCTAGAGTCTGGTGTGCAAAATGTCGTATTTTTTAATTTTTAGAATTTTTTATATTTTGGTTGGGTGGTCTAGAATGGATCTAAAGTACCAATAAATGTCATGTTACACCTAAAGGTTTCTCACGTGATTGGTAGTTCATGTTCCAATTGTAAAATCTCAATTCTAAATATGTGACTTTGGCAAAGGGATGTGACTCCTTCTCTCATGTATAAAATTTACTATATGTTGTTGAAGTAACTAATGAGTTTAAAAAAAAATCTTCCTAATCTTTTGCAGTTATGTGATCTATTTCTTTAAGTTTCAACCAATAAAACTTAAAAAATTAGTTGAACTCTTGTAGAATGATATAAAAGCATAAACATTACAATTAAAACTAAAATTTTAAACATTTTTTATTACAACTTTGTAAAGACTCAATTTCCGTTTATTAAATATGTATGAAAGTCGCATCAATAAAGATATTACAAAGTTTGATTAGAATAATCTTGTGATAATCCATATAATAAATATTTTTACAAAACTTCACATAAAATTTTTATAAACAAAAAAATGCAATTGTATAAACCTTAAGATCTTATAAAAAAAACTTTTGAATCATATCGATATATATATATATATATATATATATATATAATGATCCATGTTTAACTTGATAAGTTTGGTGGACAAAAACAAATTATCACCTAACGAAGGATATTATATTACTGAAATAAATACCCAAGGTGTTGGGTTATGATACAATAGTACTATAATGTAGAGTATCCTTTGCCCAGACAACCACCACCACCGCTTATAATTCTTGGGTGTTGCTGGATGGTTAGCTACAATAAACCTTTGTAGCTCAATAAATCATTAAATTGTATCAAATACTAGGTAATAGAAATATTGAGTCACCACCATAGGATGGACTTAGCCACATATTGTCTATGCACAATCACCGATGGGGCAAAAAATATCAAGCAACAAAGATTATCAACTTATTGAATACTAGGTTACAAAGGGATTACTATGCATATGGTTATATATATATATATATATACACACACACATACCACTAATTACAAATATTTTAGTATTATTTGTGTTTGTGACAATTAAAATGATTGTTAGTGTTTGAAAGGTATTTTATTATTTTGATATTCCAGGTAACCATATTAATTTTTTCTTCTTCTGCAAATATGATAATCTATATTATTTTTGCGATATTAAATGTTAATCAATTGTTGAGCACCTATCAGATTGGCGTGATAGGAACAAATGTTCACGAATGAGGAACTGTCCAGGGAACGTCGTCTTCCTGGCGTGGGTCGGTTTTCACAGGCAGTTTTTCACCGACATTGTTAAATGTCTGAGCTCCTGCTCCCGCATCGGTGATTGTGCGTCACAGCTCGATTCTTAAGTTGTGCTTACCGTTCATTTTTATGTAGGCTCCGGTTTCGCGCAGTGACGCGCTGCATTTTCAAGGGGCTGTTAGATTGTGTGCTGCTCAGCTAGTTCGAGGATCACTCATCAGCATCCTGATGCTCACGAACGAAGTCGGTTGCGTTAAGACGATCTGTTGACGTCTTTTGTGTTCACTTGTAGTGCATCTGTTAACTGGTTGGTTGATGTCGGGAAACGTTTACATCGTGACGGATTTGGCAGTCGAAGTTTAGTGGCATTCCATTGTGGTTGTACGCGGACAGATGATCGGAATTCGATAGGGTTACGCATTACGGGGTAGGAATCTTAGAGTGAGGAAGAGTGTGTTGTAAGTTCTTAAAGCAACCTGCTCGGAGAAGATTGTGTGCATTCTCTTCGTGCTCCAGGGGCTTGAAGTGAAAATTGGGATATAATCCGGAGACCTTACATAGCATGGGCTCTATGAACGAGACTGGTGCCAGCGTGGGGTTCATTTCAGGCTACTTGATAGCTCTGACATCTGATGTGTTCGTGCTTTTTGTTGGTGGATTTCTGTATTTCTGCCTTTTTGGTCAAGTTTTGGTCAAATTTTTGGTCAAGTTTAAATCTTCCTGGGAATGCTCTACTTTAAAATCTTTTAACGAAGCACTCCTCTCGGAACAATTGAACCGGTTGTGCTTTGACAAATCCGTTTCCTTCGAATGCCATTTTTTCGCATGGGTTTAAACAGTGCGATTCTTACAATTTAGGCAGTCGTCTTTTGTGTTCGAAAATGTGTTCGAAGAGATTTTGTTGAGTAAACGTTGTTTGTTAAACTTCTCATTACACAAAGGGACAGTGGTTGGTCTTTTGTAACACTTTATTGAGTTTAGTGGGGTTATTTTTACATGGAAACAATATGATGGATTGGACATTGTTTTGCATCTGCGAATTTGTGAATGGTACTAAAGTCCCTAAAAGAAATTTGAAGAGACACTTTATCTTTGTGGTATTTCGGTAGGAAATATAACAAGATGATAAAGGAATTTTATAATATTAAAGGGTATTTTATTTGGAAATGTAATTAAAAAAAATTTAAATTTAAATTTGGAAATGTAATTAAAATTTTTAGAGTATCAAATTAGGCAATGGTTAGATAGATAATAGAATCAATTGGATAAACATGTTATTTTTTCAAAAAATAGAACCTAAAAAGAGTTTAAGACTTCTTAAATTATGCCACAAATAGATTGGATTTAAAAAAAGAAAGTCTACAAATAACTAATTAAAATTGATTATTTTATCATATGTATAATATGAAATTAATATCATTAAAGTCAAGTTTGTGGTGTAGTAATGTTGACGTGTTGTACTACAACTATAAGGTGAAAGAAAAAAATGTGACATATTTTTAAAATACATAAATAAAAGATAGCAATGTAGTAAATACATTTAGTGTTAATGTTGTCTTTTTGTAAAAAAACTTTTACTTACTTTGTAAGATCATAAATAAGACAACAAGGTAGATTAGAAAAAATAATAATAAAGGCATCTTTAGGAGAAAGTTAAGAGTAGTTTCTAGCAAAAATTACCTTCAAAAGTTAGAAATTAATACTTGGAGAGAATTGGTTATGAACTAGGATTGATACCAAACCCTCACGCACAGAACCATGCACGTACGACAATTCTAGGGTTTTTTAGTTGATCAAAGAAAGATATTAGAATAAAAACTTACTAGAGTTTAGTTGAGAGTTGATTTTGAGTGATTTGAGTTAATATTGAATTTATAAGAGCTTTTCAAAGTGAGAGGTGTTTTAAGTGGTTTGGAGCTTTAAGAAATAAAGCAAAATTTATATATTTGAGAATCTTTGAACTTCTATCATATTGATAAGTAAAAATTTGTAGGCTTGTACATTTACTTCTTTTGAATTTGTTTTCTAAATTTAAACTTAATTGAATGGTTAAATCAAAGGTTATTTGAATCTAATTGGATTAGGATTTCAAATTTTGGATTTCAAGGATTTATAAAGTTTTCTTTGATCTTGAGTAATCTACTAGTTAAATTGAAGCAAATTTTCATGAAAAAGTTTTGATCTTAGGTTTCAACAATTTTGCTAAATTTGAATATAAGTGAACAGTTCAAAAAGAAATTATTGTTGTTGGAAGATCAACATCAAGGTTGAAGAAAGAAGACAGCCAACATCTAAGTAATTGTGGAGCTTTTTCTACCAATCACTAAGTTGGATTCTTCTTTAAATACTTCTGCTTATTATTAATTATTAGATTACAATGTATACAAAATCTTAAGCAAGTTCAATGGTTAAGTCAATAATTATAAAGGCTTTAAGATTATTCTAAAGTTGGTTAGGATTTTATGAGGATTTTATTAGGATTTTCTTAAATATCTTTAGGTTTTCATTAGAATTTGTAGAGATTTGTTTAAATTTTTATTCTATTTTTTAGGATTTAATTAGGATTTAATGAGAATATTTTAAAATTTACTTATGGATATTTCAGGATTTCTTTATATTCCTTTTAGATTTTTTTAGTATTTCATTGGGATT